TGAACTCATTCAACAGCACCTAACAAAAACAACAGTTTTTGTTTTTGCTTTCTAATGAGTTTGATATTTTTTATTTAAATACACTTTTATGTACTGTTTTTTCCTGGTGTTTTTGTCCTTCCTCTAAATTTTGTTATTTAATTTAAAAATTAATGTTTTTATATTATAAAACAAATGGAAATATTTGAATGGTTATGGAATGCAAGCTCTGTGAAAGCAGGAATACTGTCTGTCTGGTTCACTGCTATATCCACAGCACCTAGAACACAGTACTTGGAATATTCTAAATGCTCAATAAATACTTGTTAAATGAATGCTAAAGGAATTACATATCCTTGCTCAACACCTGGCAAATTCTATAAAATAACAGTAAAGTGCATTAATGCCATAAGTGTCTATTATATTATCATAGTACAGTGTTTCTCAGAGTTTGTCCATAGAAAAAATATTTACTTGGGAAATCCCTAGTTGTTAAAATGGAAAAATATTTCTATATTGAAAATAATTTGCGGAGACATGGGGTTAAACAGGTTTTGTTTGCTTGTTTTGTTATGTAAAGACCAAAAAGAACCTTTGATATGCTCATGTGCCTTGTGAACCTCTAAGAAATCCACGTTAAATATACTGTTACACAGACTTGTTTGAATATTAATATTCTCTCCCCACCACCATTGGTAAACTCTGCCTAGTGAGATAAAAATTATTTTACTGTAATAATTTTTGACAGATACATAATTATATCTGTTTGGTATAACAAAAGTTCTCTTTGAAAAATAGCTCACGTTTCAAGTGGGAATCTGTTTCCTTTTGAAAATATTCTCTTCCAACCTAAACATGTTATCAGAAAAATTTTAGAGCCATTAAGACTTCTCAAGATTTTAGAAAACTTTTTTCTGAAGACACAAAAATAGATGTAGATATTTCTCTAGTAAATCACAAAGGGGAAAAAACATCAAAAGATTTGCCCACATGAAAATTAAAAACCTTTAAACATTAAAATAATAATTTAAATACTTAAAAGAAATAAGTGAAAAGGTTATTAGCATTAATATATACAGAAATTGAGTAAATTGTTGAGAAATAGCAATCAGATCATAATTGATAAGTAGGCAAATGTATTTAATAGAGCATTTGAAAGGATGGCATACGAAGGGCTAATAAATATTTTTTGTTTAATGTTTATCACTATTGCAACTTTAAGAGAAATACGAATTGTATTGTCAAGAATAGAGGTTCCCAAACTTTCTTGCTTCATGTTGCCCTTAGTGTTCTAATTTTTTTTTCAATGTCTTTAGCCTAAAAAGAAATACCTAACAATTTCATGTATTTTAGGAATTAGGTTCAAACAACTTAGTAAAACTTAATAAATATTTCTGTCCTAACAATAGCCATTGGAAAAAATAATACACATACATTGAAAGCAGAATAATATTCTTATTTCATTCTTAAACAGCTACAGTATTTACTAATGGGAGTGTACACCTTGTTGGGCACTGCACAACTTCCCAAACCTTGGAATGAGGTTGAATACCTTCACCTTTATTTCCTGTTCCTCACTGATCTTCACGCAGTGCTTGCTGTGTATCACAGCAACCACTCAAACCCAGCTTTACAAAGATATGAAAAATACAAGAGGATGATACAGAAACGTTAAAAAGAGACTTATCTCTGAATATATTATTATGACTGATTTATTGGTGAATCTTTTTTTGAAATTTTTATATGGATGTATTGTTTTTGTGATTAGATAAAAACATTATTTAACCTATGAGAAAAAATATTAAAAGGATCTGGAAATTATGTCATTCAGGAAAACTACAGATATTAGTTCTTTCTGTGAACAAGGCACCATACTGAACTCTTTGGGAATAAAAAAGAGAAATTGCACATTGTTCCAATTTATCCAGGAGGTCACAATCTAATATAGGAAGTAAAATGAATGCATAATAACCACAAATAATACCAGATAGAATGTAATAAGTATCCTAAGCATGAGTGCCAATACAGTCAGGGTTATGCCAATCAAACTTCAGTTGGGAAGTTTGCTTTTGGTTGAACTGAGTTAGGGAGATTGGGAGTGGAAAGATGAGTAGGATTTCAAAAGGGATAAATTGTGTGAAGACATTCCAGAAGGAACCAAGGCTCAGAAGTATAAAAGCGCAAGATATTTTGGCCAGAGCCTTGGGTAGAAGATGGGATGTATGCTTTCAGGCTAGATTGTATAGGGTGCTGAATGCCAGGTTAAGAGATTTAGACTTTATTCAGTAGAAATTAGGGACCCTGGTGGTATAGTGGTTAAGAGCCAGGTCAGCAGTTCAAATCCACCAGCCACTCCTTGGAAACCCTATGAGGCAGTTTTACTCTGTCCTGTAGGGTCGTTATGAGTCAAAATTGTCTTGATGGCAACGGGTTTGGTTTTTTGTTTCAGAAGAAATTTAGAGTCTGGCTATCTTCTCCTTCTTCAGTTACCATCCTGAATGTTTCTACCTCAGACAGACCTTCCTGTCCAACCTCCTCAAACTAAATTAGATTCTCCACATTATATTAGCAGACTATGCTTTTGCTTTGTAGAACTTGACACAATTTTAATATATTGCTTGCATGTTTGTTAAATTTCTGTCTTCCTCATCAGACTGTCAGTTGCATGAGTAAAGGGACCTTTAGAATTTCATTTTCACTTTACGTTCCAGCCTCATCGTAGCACTGGTACATAGTAAGCTTTTAATAAATAGGTATTGAACAAATGAGAGAGGTAGGAGAATAAGGTGGAGGGACTTCCTTGGAGATATAATAGTTATGAGAGATGTCAAAGTCCAACATGTCACCCAGTATGTGGATTGCTGGGGTAGGATGGAGATGAAGGTTTGGGAAAATTGAGATTTGACTTTTAGAACAATTCTTGAAATTCTGGTTGAACTCATCGAGAACAAGGATCGGATACAGAGGAAGCAATGATGTTTTAAAATAAATAGATGACAAAATGAGAAGATCTAAAGTAAAGCAGATGGTATAGACCAATAAGATAATGAGTTGAAAGCAGTAAAAAGTATAGTCTTTTTCTCTTCATCAGGTGAGCAGAGAGTTTATAGAGGTTTGTGAGCCAAGGGGAGCTGAAGGAAACCATGTTTCCATTAAGTTGGGACGGTATAGAGATGGCTTATAGATATATAAGGAAGAAAGTATCAGAGGATATGTTCACAGTAAAGCAAGGGTATATTGTACAACACAATGCGACAGGACTAACACGGGAAGATGGGGAGATGACTGAACTATTTTACAGTGGGCTATTAACTACAGTTAAGTGCTTAGTGAATATTAATTAGCTAATTGACTTTTTCAGTCAGAATTCATCACTGTTTCTAGAGAAATAACCCAAAATTCAGTAATGGCAATAGCTAACAACAAAGACTTATGGTAATAACATAGGCCCATGTCTTAGATAGCACTTACGTGTAAATATATTTATATTATTTACACTCAGTGTTTTTGACTTAAAAATATTTTCTTGTGCTTTTTTATGCTCTCACATAGTGATATAAACACTACACATAGCTACCTGGTTTCTACTTCCCAGAAATTCTAGTTTCTGAAAAACAGAAAAAAGTTACTTTGTCTAGTATTTTAAAAAAATGACCAACCATGCCCTAAATGCCTTTTGTTTTTTAAGATGTTTACAAAATATTATGATTATGAAATAACTAATTTTAGTTTATGTGTACTGCAAATGGAGCCTCAAAACCGAAAAGGTTTTTTTGTTTTGTTTTGTTTTTTTACATCAGTGCGGTGAAACTTTTAGGCAGCTGTGAATACTTTGCCTTGTTATACTGTTTCAGTTCCTTCTGTGACCAGTGACATGGCACGGGTTTGTAAGGTGACTGGAGTTAGGGATGCTGTCTCTGGCCGTGAAAAAGAGTTGTCTGTTCGCTGAACAAAACTGAATGATTGCTATGGGAGTCAGGTGAGAGACTTTGGCCTGATTCTGTGCTTTACTACTGAGGTTTTGTCACAGACCACCTGGCACTTCGTGTTGTTCTGTATCCATTCAAAACCAAGAGTCAAAGTGCTCTGTGATAGTCATATGTGTAGTCATACATTAAAACATGCTGCTTTCCATAGAGGTGATTTTTTTTCCTCTTTAACCAGTTTTTTAAAGTTTGTTATGTGAGCATCATAGTATTTTGCCAGATGTACTGAGATAATGGCTCTCTAGCTGTTAGGGAATAGTTCATTCCCTGAATGTGAGATGTGTTGGAAAATATTACCATCATTGTGTAGCTAATTATGTTTGGGCTTAGGTAGTTATTGTTAATAATCCTGACTCAAAACACCAAGTAGGTTAATTCTTGGTATTTATAAGAGCAGTGCTGATGATGGAGAATACACTTAAATCTGCCACAAAGTTTTGCATGTGTGAATAGTTATTACCAAGGCGGAAAGAAAAAAGAAACTCTCTACGTTTATCTGTACTTTTTCTCATTACTTAGATTCTTTTTAGTGTTCTTGGTATCCATGAATAATCTCTTTTTATTAAACAATGACCTTTCAAGTTGTTGCATTTTGGTTTTCTTCAGTAAAATTCCCTGCCCTTACCCTCACCCCACCCCCTGCAAAAAGAAATCATTCTCATCTTGTATCTAGGACACTCCTAATTTGTCTTTTCAATGAGTCAAAGCTGAGAGATAAATGGTATAAGAGTAAATGTTAGTGTTACGAGTCAGATAATTTGAAGATCGATCATCATACCCTCATGGTCTGGGATACAGAGCATGAATTTGATTCAGTATTTCCTCTATCTCCAGAGGTATGATCTGCCTATCTTCTTGCTGTCTTTTAGTCCTGGTAGAAATTTATTATCTTTTCTTGCCTAAATCAGAATGTGAAGGAGGAAGAGTTCTAAGTCTAAAAAGCATATAAATACTCTCTCCAAAATGTCGAGTGTTGGCTGTTAATTATGCTTAGAATGAAGCTAACAGCATACTAACGTTGAGTTCTCCTCACAGTGGGTAAACCTCACAAGTGCAACTACTGTGGACGAAGCTACAAGCAGCGCAGTTCACTGGAGGAGCACAAGGAACGCTGCCACAACTATCTCCAGAATGTCAGCATGGAGGCTGCTGGGCAGGTCATGAGTCACCATGGTAGGTAGAAATGGCATTCACCATTTTTGTTCAGCCCTACCCTGCTTTTATGATGTTTTATGGATTAAATAGTTCCTTCCACTTTTCAAAAATGAAAATAAAATCTTATTCCATTTAAAACAGTTTTAGATCACATTAACTTTGTATGGGATTATCTTCGTATGCATTTTTAATGAATTGAACTTTGGGATACTTTGCAGACAAGCTATATTGAGTTCTTGTGATACTCCAGAATTATTTCTGATAACTTATATTTGATATTAGCATAAGACATGGTAGCCAACCTTGCATACAACAACTGGAGGTACTATGTTCTCTTTCATTAGCTGCACCAAACTGTTGAAGATAGTTCCACATAAGTCTATAGGTTTCCTGAAAGAATGAACTGATTATTTACATACTTTTTCATCTCTCTTTGGTTAAGTGATCAGTGATATAGTTTTAAAATTTCTCTAATCTCTCTTGGATTTATCTGTGAATTACTGATTTTGCTTTGTACAAGCATGGGAAACAACCTAGACTAAAATTATGCATCAACCCCATTTCCCTCCACAAAAATCAAACCTAAGCAAAACATCCTAATTGCAACCGTACACAGTGGCAGGTAGGAAGGCAGGCCCTAGGATTTATCAATTCATAATTCTCTATTCTTCAAAAATTAATTTTTGTAGATCAGCCTTATGCAGGAAATGTAATGTATTTGATTCATTAGATTTAGGGAGTCTGTCTTGTCCTATTAATTGTGTTTTTATATTGACTGATTTTATTATTCAAACAATACACACAAAAACGTTAACATTGGTACATTTACAGATTTTCTCAGTCAAGATAAAAAGGGTTTGGCCAATATTAAATAGTATATTTGGGGATTGTGATAGTTGCTTTTAAATTTATATCTATTCAGTGATTTATAGACATAGCCAGCTCAAGGATTATTTGTGAGTTTTTTTTTTTTTTTTTTTTTTTTTGGTTATTTGTTTGTTTAGGTTTTTATTTAAAAAAAAAAAATAGTACATACTGGGGAACTGTGTTTATTGGGCAGCTGGTGATTATTTGTTGTTGAATTGGGATTTTTTAAAAAATTAAGTATTTATTTTGTTATCCTAAATAGTGGAAACATGCCCTTGTATTGAGGACAGTTTATATAATTTTAATGATCAAATTGAATTCCAGTTTGTTTAAATTGAGTCCATTTATTTCTATATTGTTAACATTATTAACTAACATTTTTGAAAATCTATGTGTTACAAGTAAATTGGTATTGTAAGCATGCATTACCTGGACTTATGAGGGTAGCATAGGATGCAGAGCATAGAGGTTAAAATGGTGATCTTAGAGTCTAACAAACCTGGCTTGGCTATGTGACCTAGTGTGTCTGACTGTGTTAATCATAGGCTTCCTGTGAGAATTAAACATGACTGCGTGTGCAGTAAGTGCCCAATAAATGGTTTTTTTACTATTTTGTTTAAGGGCATTAAGTATTAAGAAACAATGAATTTACTATCCCCTACAAAGTTGTTTCTTTTTTTTTTTTTTAATTTTTTTTTTATTGTACTTTAGATGAAGGTTTACAGAATGAATAGTTTTTCATTAAACAGTCAGTACACATATTGTTTTATGACATTGGTTAACACCCCCACGACATGTCAACACTCTTCCCTTTTCGACCTTGGAGGACCTTTTTTTTTTTTTGGTGAAAATATACACAGCCAAATTTGCATGATTTCAAAAGTTTCTACATGTACAATTCAGTGACATCGATTATATTCTTCCAGTTGTGCTGCTGTTCTCACTATCCTTTTCCAAATTACTCCATCACCATTATCTTCAAAAGTTATGTTTCTTATCAGAATTAATATAGGCATTAGAGAAATTCTGGCCCTGCAAATTATTTGGCTTCCTTTATTTCTCTTGCACTTATTTAGAAACCTTTGAACTGCTAGTTATATTCACAAAAGATTTTCCGAGGTTTACAGAGGACTTTTTTTTAATCCTTTTACTATAGGAGAATTAGAATTTGGCTAGCATAAAGTTGCAAAGAGATGGTATATTAAAACAAAATATTTTCGTCAAAAATAAGTCCTACATATCATTTCCGTAGCAGGTCTAAGGAACTTGTCATGGGTTTCATTGCCTATCATGCTACTGTTTTGGTTTAAATTTTTGGTTTTAGGGTTAGTTTGAGGCAGAGAGCTGATGAAGGCTTGGAGGCATGCCAGAGCTTTCCAGATACACCTTGTGGCACCACTGCTAGTTTTTCCTTGTACTCTTTCCCATTTGATAGGATTATATATGTGCAAAGCCACTGATGAATTCATTTTTCCATTCACAGTTGATTATGGAACTCTGGTACATACATACATGAATAAGAAATAGAGTGTCTCCTGAAAGTATTTATAGTGTTACAGGGGACATAAGATATATGTAAATGATCATAATTAACATTTAACTGTTTAATGACAGATTAACCAATTAGAGAATAAGTGCAAACAAAAAAAAAAAATTAAAGGATGTATATTGGGGGTAGGGGAGGAAGGGAAAAAGACATGTCTTCTAAACAGCTAGGGCTTCAGCATCAATTTCCAATTCCCCATTTCCCACGTTGCTTAGCCTTTGATGGCATGAGTGGCCCTGAAGTTGGTACAGAGTGGGGAGAAGTGAGGAAAGAGACTGGGGTACCTGGTACAGCAGAGGGCAATGCCAAGGAATGGGGGAGTTAGGGCAGGTTTTGATATCATTTGTAGACCCAAAAATATATTCTTAAATATTGGACATACTTTTAACTACATAAATTCATATTAGTGCCATTTCACACTGTACTTTTTCTAGATATGTTACAGTAATACTTGGAAATTATTCTTAATTTCTTTTTCTATTTGTTAACATGATTAATGGGAAATTGCCTGTATGAGGTAGGAATTGATAACTGCCATAAAAGAGAAAAGTATGGTTAAAATGCTAATGGAGTTCATCATTAACCTTGTCTCAATAAGTTGGTGTGTATCTCCTTCTAAACTGAGCCACAATGAAATTCAAATTTATCGCCTTCCCTTTCTTCCTATCCTGCTACATCTTGCCTTTTTTTTCTTTCCCCCTCTTTTTTTTAGTGGTAGATATGGGGGTTGCCATTTCTGGTTGCCCTTATCTCCTTGAAACTAATTACCGTTCTTTTTTTTCCAGTATCTGGCATAGTTATATATCCTAGCCTCTCTTTCTTAAAACATATTATTTGCCATGTTGGCTCTTTTAGTGAAGAAATATCTAAAGTAAAAGAGGCATTCTTTCACTTCATTCAGGAAGCTTTTTTTTTTTTTTTTTTTTTTTGTCAACTTACTATGTGCCAGGTTCTGTGGAATGTTGTGGGATATAAAGATAAATAGATACAATTTCTTTTATAAATTTATGTTATTTTCTTGTAGGAAATACATACATTTTTTAAAAAGAGAAATAAAATGAAGCAAAAACCCTAATAAAGGCACGTATACAATTCTCCAAGATCAAGGATGTAGAAGTGATCTACCTATGTCTGAAGAAGTAAAAAATAGCTTCTTAGATCCTTCTTAGTGTTTGAACTGAGCATGAGGGATGAGTAAATGTTGCCTATATGGGGACAGGACACAGAGAATGTGCATTCCGAGTAGAGAAGTTGCCATCAGCAAAGGCTTTGAGGTATGAAAGAACATTAACAACTTCCTGAACATTGAGCATAGTTGGAGTTAAAGAAATGGTAGGAAATGAGACTGAAATAGTAGATTGTGATACAAAGGGAGAGCCTTCCATGCCAACCCAGTGCTTGAATTTCAGTGTGTAACTGATGGGGAGCCACTAGGATAATAATTTGTGTCTTCTAAAGAAAAATATCACCAGTTCAAAATATAGGATAGATGCTTGCCTGGAGAAGCAGGTAGTGAGAGAGAGACTAGAAGTGAGAATGCCAAGGAAAATATGAAAAGGCGGTGGTAGGACAAGAGACCAGGATGAAGCACTGAAGAGAGATTTTGGAGGTAGAAGAATAAGTTCTTAGTAAATGTTGATGTGGCTTTTGAGGGAAAGAGAGGCATTTCATGGCTCGTAGTTTTAGAAATAAAGCTAATATTGAATTGGATTTTATGGCAGATTATATTATTTGAAAGTTAGCTCTGTGCTGATTTTTCAAATGTTTTCAGCTTGAACAAACAGCTTCAAAAACCAAATTATGTAATTACCCTCCTTGCCCTAGCCTGAGGACAAAATGAAAGTGTGAACCAAAAGGTTGCCCAACTTTGAAGCAAGGATATATCTTCTTAAGTTTATACACTGATATTTGGGAAAGGGAAGTTCTTTATCCCATGTATGGAAGCCTATTTTCTTCTTTGACTTATTTCCATTGACTGGCATCATTTCCTTCATTAAATGATTCAGTGAATATCCATTGAATATTTGCTATTTATCTGACATCATATGAGGTACTAGAGACACAAAGGCAAATAAAAGGCATTCCCTGCTGGAAAGTTACTTACCAGCTATTGGAAGAAATAGGCAAGTAAACCAACAGTTAGAGCATTATGTGATCAGCATTGTAGGGTCATAGAGGAGGGACATCTAATCAGACTGGGTGTCCAAGAGGAATTTCCAGGGGAAGTTATATTTGCACTGAATTTGAAAGGCAAGTTAACTAGCTAAATAAGTGGAAAAGGTTGTTTCATGAAGAGAGAATAGCATGTATGAAGAAATGGAAGTCTAAAACAGCATGGTGGCTTAAGGACCTATAAGTAGCTTTGTATACTTGGAGTGAAGTTTATGAAGGAAGAGAAATTGGAAGTGATAAGATTTAAGAAATAGTCTGTAGGCAGAGCATGAAGGGCCTACTTATTGTGCTAAGCAAAAACTTTTTACTATATTCTGAAAAAAAATGATTATATTTGCATTTTATTGCTAGAAATGTGGGAGATAGAGTAGAGGGTGAAAGGAAGAGGCAAGAAAACTAATTAAGAGATTGTTGCGATGGTCAGGGTGGTCTTAAAAACCAAAAAACCAAACCCATTATAATACCTTCAAGTTGATTTCGACTCATAGCGACCCCGTAAGACAGAGTAGAACTGCCCCATAGATTTCCAAGGAGCAGCTAGCTGGTGGATTCGAACTGCTGACCTTTTGGTTAACAGCCTGAGCTCTTAACCACTATGCCACCAGGGCTCCAAGGTGGCCTTAGTAGCCTGGAATATACAGAAAAGTTATGAAATTGAGAGCAGCTACAGATGTAGACTCTAAAACCTGTGGTACCTCGATGTGTATATGTGGGGAGAGGTGATAGGGAGGAGGAGGGACAGAAGACTGAGTAACAGGAAGAAATTTAGGATATACCATTGATATCTATCTAGCTTAAATAACTGGGTACGTAGTGCCATTAACTGAGATGGGGATTAGGAAAACCAGAGACAGTCTGGGGAGGAAAATGGGTAGCTTGATTTTTTAACTCATTATGTTTTTGGTGCCTGTTAAACAGCCAAGTGCAACTGTCTAGGAGGAAATTGAGTATAGATCTTGCTCTTGTGAAGTAGATCTGGATAGGAAATAAAGGTGTGGGAGCCATCATTTTAAAGGTAGTAGACTGAATGTAATAGGTTTTAATAAGGTTATGTGGTGAGTATAGAGTGAGATATCCAGAAGGCCAAGGACACGCACATACAAAAGAAAAAGGTCCATGAAGATGAGTAAGAGCAGAGAGGGAAAATAGAAGACCTGATTTCACAAAAGCCAAAGCAAGTATCAAAACTGTCACACGCGGTCAGGGAGATAACTAAGATAACTGACAAGTTTTCTTTAGATTCAGCAACATGGAAAATGTTGGTGACAGTATAGAAGACATCTGTTGTTTTGGCTTGCCCAACATCCTTTCCCCTTCCTTTGTTAACGGGACTACCATTTTCCTTCAGAGAACTGTCTTTCTCCTGTTACAGTCATGGTAGAACTGTCAGTCCAGGTGCCCTGCCCCCTCCTGCCCAGGGGGTGGACATGTGACCTAATCTGGGTCCTTCAGACTATTTCTTCTTGGAATTTGAATTTTCAGTTCATTGTTTGGGAAAAATAGCTATGTTGGGAACACTTTTATGGTTCTGTTTTCATGGTTTATCGATATAAAGAGATAATGATATTATACAAGTATAAATAATTTTTTATCCTGGTTTTAACTTCAGAAATGAGATCAAAGAAGATATTTGGTTATGAAGCTTTCTCAAACAAGTAAAGTTGGCATATTGGTATATTTTTAGCCTAGCTAAATGCCTCACTATACTATAATGCATTATTGAATTAACTAGAGGACGTGTTGGTGTTTCAAGCAGTATATACCCAGAAACGTTTTGATAGGTTGCACCCAAATCCATGAAAGCCAAAAATTCAGATTAGTTACATAGTTGATAAAATGTATCAGATCTTTTCTCAATAGCAGACCTTATGAATATGTCAAACTTGTTTATAAAATGCCAACATTCAAATTACATCTACAAAGAAAAGTATAGCTGAGTGATTAAGAGTCCAGGTTCTGGGGCCAGACCACCTAGGCTCAATCCCTACATTCCCTACTAACTAGGTGTTAACACCAAGGAAATTATTTAACATGCCTGCATTTTAGTTTCCCCATATGTAAAATGAAGATAATAGTAGTATCTATCTCTTGGACTTGTTGAAAGGATTACTTGAATTATTAAATGTAAAGCCTTAAAACAGTGCTTAGCACATAATTAATGTCAGTTATTATTATTATTGTTATTGTTATTGCTGATCTGGTAAAAAACAGAATGAATTTTTGACATGTAGAGACCTGTTGTAAAGTAGAAGTTAGACTAGAGCTCTGCTGAAGTCAATATTTTCAGTTCACATGAGCTTCATTGAACTTGAGCCAAATATGAATTGAGTGGATGTGGTGTGGGGCAGTTCCCATACCCAGGTTTCGTTTTGAGTGTTAAATGTGTGCAAATATGAAAATTCAGGGTGAAACTTAAAGCAAAACTGCCAAATTTTAGGCTATTCATTTCAAAACTAATTAGTATATTCAATTTTGGGGCAAACCCTATTAACCGGTTTAGCAGTTTTTTAGCAAAATTTACACCACCAATTTTTTTTTCATTCTTTCAGTTTTGATCTTGGTTCATGACATATTTTCATCTTTGGACTGCAATTTTTTAGTTATTTAGTTATTTTTAATAGTGTAGTAAGTACCTGTGAATCCACCACCCAAGAGAAAGATTAAGGTTTTGACAGTAATCTATATCTAATTACGTGGTGCCCAGCCACCACTATGTCACCGTTCTACCCTGTCTCCCTTATCTGAATTCTATGGTAATCTTTCCTTTGCTTTTCTTTTTATATACACAGTTTTACTTTAACTGTATATTTTGTTAAAGTATATATATATATATATATGCATATGTATAATTTTTACTTGTTTATAAAAGAGTATATAATGCTCTATATAGTATCCTGAAGCTTACTTGTTCCACTTAATGATATCATAGATTATATCAGTGCAGAAAACGACCTAAGTGTTTCCTTGTTTCTGAATTTCATCTTAGATTTTTTCCCCAAATTTACATCTAATATTTGCAGAATCCCTTATTCATAGCCAAAGAACCTCTTATAAAATGCAGACTAAAGATTAAATTTTTCTGCCCATCCACCAGAATACAGTAGGTTAACCAAAACTTATATCGAAGATGAATTTCTTTAAACATGTCTAGTTTAGGAAAATATTTTTCTGATGCCACTTTCTATTTCTTCAAAATCAACAACATGTGTTGGTTATTAAATAGGTCACCTGCGTTGTGCACTGAGTTTTCTTAACTTTGCTCTCTTGCTTTCTCATGTTATTTTAGCATAAGCCAGCAGAATCCCCTTATAAAAAAAAAAATATACTGTTCTTCACACAGTGGGGATATCCTGTACAAATGAAGGGAGCAGAGTAAATCATTTTACATTGCATGCTGAATCCTAAGATATGAAACCCTCAGGTTACCAAACAGTACTGGCATAAGTACAGTTGGAACAAGCAATAATAATCAAGAAATAATAAATTACGGTTTTTCCTGTGAACACTGGTTTTAATCAACTGATCTGATCTTGTCTCGGATGTCACTTTATCCTTACTTAAATGTTCTTTGCCAGCATTTCCATTCAAACACAACTTTTCTAACTTGTTTTTCAATGCCACGAATGTCAATATCTAATATAGTAGGCCACAGCAACTTAGAAAAATGGGAGAAAGAGGGAGCAGCATTGGAGAGTTTATTTCAAATGAATTAGGGCAGTAGTTTAGTGAGCCAGTGTGCCGATTTGGATATGGATTCTCTTATCCTGCTGAAGAGCTCTTTTTAAAATAAATTACACCCATAAAGCTGCCACAGTTCACTATGCATAGACATGTTCAGAATTGGATCTCCTTCATGAAGGCTGCTTTGTGCAGGTATTTAAGCTACTGGCAATAGGGCTAACAGCTCATTCAGCTCCTCACATTGAAAATCTGCTGCAGGAAAATACCTAGGTGAAAAATCTGGTTAAATATCGTGCTGTTATTCTGTGTGTCTGTTTAAGCTTTCCTGCAAAACAAGTTGACTTTCTTAAATTGTTTTAGAAAAATAAACTCCAAAAGCCTGAAGAATAGTATAGTCTTAGTACTACTGATTTTAATCAATGTAAAAAAACTCTTTCAGAGGAATAAGATGAGAAACAAGATAAACACATTTGCTGCCAATAGAAGCAACAGTTTATATCATTGATTTGAGAGAGACTTGGATAAAAGCAAATCCTGTGTGTGTGTGTGTGTGTGTGTGTGTGTATGTGTATAAAATTAGAGAGTATACTTTCACACTAGAGGTATTCTTTCTACTTGCTTTTATTCAAGCCTACTAGCTTAACGTTTGTGTGACACATATTCAGATGGCAAATTCAGCTATATGTCTTTCAAAATGTTGAAGGAATTATCAGATTGCATTTTTTGTATGGTTTTATTTAGTACCTCCTATGGAAGATTGTAAGGAACAAGAGCCTATTATGGACAACAATATTTCTCTGGTGCCTTTTGAGAGACCTGCTGTCATAGAGAAGCTCACGGGGAATATGGGAAAACGTAAAAGCTCCACTCCACAAAAGTTTGTGGGTAAGCGTTAAAAATGCTTTTATTTCTTTAAAAGGTAATTTTAATGAGCAAAGGCATCTTCCCACATCTTAGAAAAATATAGGATGTATTTCAGTTCATGAAATAAATACCAGTCTCTTTTCTCCATTATTCTTCTTCTCTCCATGCCAGTCCGTGTGCACCATACTCACACTCACACACACACACACACACACACACACACACACACACACACACACAGGCGTATGGGCCTAAGAAAGAGAAATAAAGGGAGGGACTGATAGTAATAACTCACTATCTCACAATGAAATGAAATGTAAGCTGAAATGGCATGTGAATATTAAATGTTAGTTAATTTATTTTAGAAATTATAAAGATTTATGGGAAATGGTATGGCCCATCACAGTGGTTAACCCAAAGCTGCTAAGCCAAAGGTCGGCAGTTCTAACCCACCAGACGCTACTCGGGAGAAAGATACGGCAGTCAGCTTCTGTAAAGATTACAGCCGTGGAAACACTATGGGGCAATTCTCTGTCCTACAGGGTCGCTATAAGTCAGAATCCGCTCATCAACAACGGGTTTTCTTTTTTTTTTTTTATTGGTCAGTTTAGTACTCTGTTTTAAAATTTTCATTCACATCAGGTTTTTAACTGTTTTCTTTATGTGATCTTTTAGTATTTGGTCTGGAGTGAAGAGAACTAATCATAATTTTTTTTTTCAAAATTCAACATTAGATTAGAAATATTATACAATTCACATACAAAATGTTTCGTGTATGGATTTATAGGTTCTACTTTGTTTTCATCCAGACTAATGGTTTTGAACTGAAAAGATTAAACATTACATATTTAGACTTTCCTTTTTCATTTCCAAGCTCTTAAATAGAGCAACTTAGTCTTTAATATACTCAGACTTAGCATTATTCTAATTGCATGCTGTAAGTAATAAAGTGTTTAGGATACAAAAAGCATCTAACCTTAAAAAAAAAAGTATGAATAATAGAGACTCAGTATAAAGAGTTATCATTTATTACATATATAAATATCTATTCTTTTAGACTTTATATAAGACATAAAAAGAGGAGATAAAAATATTCCAAAGAACACTGTGGCACATTCTGACATGGGTTGAATGGTGACTGGGGAAAAATCTTTTCTTCGGTTATTTCAGGGAAGGAAGAGTAAAGAATTTCTCTTACTTTAGTAAACACTTTGAGAGAGTTTCCTTTCAATCCAAAGTTGAAGAACTAACAAATCACCGAAATAATCACTTTAAGAGTAGTTAGAGGGGTTAATGACATAGATCACTGAAAGAAGGATAAAGGGGGATTCTAAGGACAATAGTTTATACTAGGTCAGTTTAAGACTCCTGGGATTATACTCAAAGGCCTGCATTGGTCTCTAGGTAATTTACTTCTCTCCCCTCCCTCCCTCCCTCACTTCCTTTCTTCCTTCCTCTCTCTCTCTATTGTTCTTTATGTCTTTCTGCCGGTTCAGTTATTTTAAAACTGTATTTACTTGATGGAAGTCCATTAAATGCCTGTATCTCAACTAAACATTGAGAAAATGTGAAATACATTGTCATCATTCTTCTGTCTTCTCAATTTATAAAGTTCTGCTCTTTGGAATATTTTCGTCATGTTTCCTATGATTTAGAGGTGCTAATCTCAGTTTGATTTGATTACATTTCTTAGAAAAGTATGAACAATGTTTTAAAATCACAATATGATTTTAAATATGACCCTAAATTTTTATTAAGAAATTGAGGTACTTTTCCTTTATTTGGACTCCACATTCTAATAGTAATATATAATAAGCAACAGATTCAGTAACAATTTCTGTGATGACTTTTGAAATAAAAATTTGAGCATTCAACACTTATTGTAAATTCCTTTTTGCCATGTCCCTCAGATAAATGCTGTTCTTTTACCTCATCAAGCTCTCCAGGCAAATGCTCCCTGAACGATTTGTATCACTGTTGTCCTCCCCGTGTCTTTTCCTGTGCAGCTTACATTTCATTGTTAATTGCTTTTACCTTTCTTGCCAATATTCTTGACTCCTTGCCTTGTTGTTCTATCATCTTCTCCTGGCAAAACCCCACTCTCCAGTGAATTAGACCAAGTGGCTTCTTCATATCTACATCTCAGTGCTTAGTGCTTTTAAGAAAAAAAAAAATCCTATAGCCTTACCAATTTATGTCACTCTATATAAATGAATAAATGGTCTTAAATATCATTTGGCCCATTCATACTATCTAGTATTACATCTTTAATCCATCCTTGAACAGTCATCTCTCCTAACTCTCCATTCTGCCCATTTCAGACCTTCTCTATTCTTCTTAAACATGGTATCTGACTCCTTGATGACCGTATATCTAGATTTGTCCAGGGAGGGGGGGAACACTGGTTGAAAATGATTTCAATTTTCAGTATACTATCACCAAATCCATAAGATTATGTGCATCCACATGGATACGTTCTTCCTTTCTCCTTATTTCAATAGAAGCATCCTTTTTCTGATTAAGATGAATTATTCTGAAGTTCTCCTTTATTGTCCCCTCAAATACCTCACACTATTACTTTTCCTCTTTCTCACTTATGTCTTCAACTTCTCCCATCTGTTAGCATTTTTCTATCAGCAGTTAATGTGATATACTCTTATCATTGAAAACAAAAATCCTGTTTCAAACCCAGGTCTCCTTCCAGCTACTATCTGATCTCTCCCTCTCTTCAAAGATGGAGTTGTTGAAAGAATTCTCTATGCTTGATTATCATCATTTCTTTCTTTCTACTCATTCCCCATTCCATGTAACCTGACCTTCTTCCTCATGTTCCACCTCTTGTGGAGATCATCACTGGCTTCCATATTGCCAATATCCAGTAGGCAGTTTTTAGGCTATACCTTATAGAACACGTAAACAGCATTTATCATTATTGAGTAGTCCTTTTCTGTTGAAAAACTCTTTCCTCAGTTTCTATGACATTGGTATTTCTTGCATTTCCTCCAGCTTCTCTGACTATTGCTTCTCAGTCCTCTTTAACAGCTATGCAAATGGGTCAAAAATACTAATGAGGCACCTAATCATACACCTAAATATTTTAATATTATAAGTTAAGTTGAAAAACTGTTAAAATATGTTTAACCTCCTAACTTGGAAGACAGGCTTCAAATATAGAATTCTCAGATTTCTTGAAATTCCACACCAAAACTTGATAGTATGTGCAGAACCACCCGTTGCTCTGCAGGCCAGTCCCCTCTTTTCCCACTTCTGGTTCTGTCTAGTATTAAAAGGGGTCCTCACGCACACGTGTGTGGAAGCTCCAGTCTGCACATCCAAGTACTTTGCACACTGTACCCACATAAACACACATAAAAGGCTGTGCTTTGGCCACTCCTCAGGCCTAGCGGTGCACATACCAGCAGTGCATTTGGTATACAAGAGGATGGACCCTATAAAGAGACCTATGCAGGCCCTGGAAGCAAGCTCAGAGCCTGTGGGCAAGGAATTCTGTGGTCCTGGGTTCCCATAGTGTTGTCTGGAGGAGGGGAAGGTGAGCTCTAAATAGCCATGTCCCTTGGCCCCATAGGCTCCTCATTTTATAAGGAGGTAGGCCCCTGGCTCTCTGAACATGGGGCCCAGGGCAGGAGCCCCTCTTGCCCTGGTCTGTGGGTGGGCATAAAAATCTTGGTGTTCTTCCAGGTTCTATTTTTGTGCTGTTTTCTTCACACTTTACCTATGCCTGGGTGATACCATCTATTCCCATAGCTTCAGAAGTTACTTTCTATCAACTAATAACTCTTATATCTACATCTTGAGCCCAGATCTCTCTCCTGAGTTTGAGACCGTATCTAAGTACTTTCTAGACATGACTATCACTCATGGTCTTCCTCAAACATAACTCATCATCTTTTCTATCTCATTGCTATCCATGCTGTTTCCTAGGCCAGAAACCTGAACTTCCTTTAACTCTTTTCTCTGTCTCATTCTCTGTGTCGAGATAATTACCAAGTCCTAGCAATTGTAACTTTCTCTCCATTCCATTGACTTTGCTCCATCTCCACGGCCACTACACTAGTTAAGGCCACTGTGATCACTGTTGCAAAAACTTCCTAACCACTTTTGCTAAATGAATAATTAATCAAGAGACTTCCCTGTTTAAAACTCTTCAGTCCTGTAGCTCTCAGGATTAAATGGAAATTCTTTGGTTATTGAATGAAGTCCTATATTGTCTGACCCCTTATTTCTCACTGTTTTCAACTTTTAATATTTTTGAAGCATAAGTAATTCCTTGAAAAAGTCATGCCCTCCTGCCTCTGAGCCTCCCTAGCAGCTGCCACAGCGCCATGTTCTTTTACCTGGCTAACATGTACCATTAAATTCCTACGTCTGATGCTACTTCCTTCAAGAAGTCTTCCTTTCCTTCCCTAGTAGGAGTTAAGTTTTCCTCTTATTTGACCCCATAGCAAGCATCACATTGTATTGTAAATGATCCCTAAATTGCTGTCACTCCCTCTAAACTGTAAGCCCTTTGAGAACATAAATCAGGTTTGTCTAGCTTAACTTTGAAACTCTTTACGCTGAAATATCTTAATTCAGATGCTATGAGATAATTTCTGATCATTTTTTTTCTTCCGTTTTTATTTCTCATGATCATTACTCTGATCCCACTTTGAGGCCCTTTCTTTAAGTCTGAAATAATGCTAACTACACAAAAGTGCTTTTCCAGAGTGTAGTTCTGTGGATCAACACTCCCGATCAACATTACAAGTTAAACATCCTTCCAAAACAACATAGTTAACATTTGTAAGAAGTCCACATATATTTCTATTTTTAAAAAACATTTATCTGTGAAGTTTACCCTTCAAAGGAACTAGTTGGAAACCACAATGTTTTAGTGACAAAATTTTAAAAAGTTGAAGTATTCTGTCCAAAAATGGCAATATTTGAAGGAGAAAAATCAATTACTCCTTCTGTTTTAAGCACCAAAAATCTTTTATAGTTAATACTCAGATATTTCTGTTGTAGTAAAGTTAGATGTATTGAAGTAAATATTAAAGAGAAAACTGTAAACATCTTTCAATCAAGGAAAAAAATGACAAATTTACAATGAGTGCACATACCAGCACCATCACATATAAAAATGAATAGTTATCAGATTCAAGATGCAAAACAAAGAAAAAGGAGATTTTCCAAGCTTATGAGCAAGTACTTTTGGAAATAATTTCTAATTTTATTTTTAAATAACCCTAAGTTTCATTCAATGTACCAAGCAATACGACTTTTTAAAGTATTTTAATAATAATACTTTTGAGATTCTCTAGAATGACACATATTGCCTCTATAATTTTTTTTTTTTCTAGTATGGAAGCTAAATCAGCTAAATCAACCCTATCTAACAGTGAGTCGCTATGAGTTAGAATCAACTCCATGGCAACGGGTTTGTTTTTTTTTTTTTTTGTAACAGTGAGGTGGCAGACTATATAAGCATATCACTCTTGCTTTTATGATCTTTGTAGCTTGGTCACTCATTTTCAAAGTATGCAAAAACAAGCGTAGTCCCTGACTTATTTTTACCTGGTCATTCTTTCTCCTGTAGCTCCTGAGTTCTAGACAAGTGGAGATTTTAATAGAGAATGAAAATAAGATGATAACACACTCAACCGTACCTGTCAGGCTAGATGCATTCTCATGATGGCATTAACAAGCACAAATGGCTTGTGAAATTTTTGTGACTAATCCTTTTTGTATGTGAGATGTATTTTGTGTTTCTCAGCAGAATTAAAGAGCCCAAATGCTTGATCTGAAGAATAAGATATACCACATTATGGAAAATGGAGGGTGATTAACTTTGTATACTTCTTATATTTTTAATGCAATCACTTATTTTGCTGTATTCTTTTTTTTTTTTTTCCTCCTTCCCCTTTCAGGGGAAAAGCTCATGCGATTCAGCTACCCTGATATTCACTTTGATATGAACTTAACATATGAGAAGGAGGCTGAGCTGATGCAGTCTCATATGATGGACCAAGCCATCAACAATGCAATCACCTACCTTGGAGCTGAGGCCCTTCACCCTCTGATGCAGCACCCGTCAAGCACAATCGCTGAGGTGGCCCCAGTTATAAGCTCAGCTTATACTCAGGTCTATCATCCAAATAGGATAGAAAGGCCCATTAGCAGGGAAACCTCTGATAGTCATGAAAACAACATGGATGGCCCTATCTCTCTCATCAGACCAAAGAGTCGACCCCAGGAAAGAGAGGCGTCTCCCAGCAATAGCTGCCTGGATTCTTCTGACTCAGAAAGCAGCCATGATGACCGCCAGTCCTACCAAGGAAATCCTGCCTTAAATCCCAAGAGGAAACAAAGCCCAGCTTACATGAAGGAGGATGTCAAAGCTTTGGATACCTCCAAGGCTCCTAAGGGCTCTCTGAAGGACATCTACAAGGTCTTTAATGGAGAAGGAGAACAGATTAGGGCCTTCAAATGTGAGCACTGCCGAGTCCTTTTCCTAGACCATGTCATGTACACCATTCACATGGGTTGCCATGGCTACCGGGACCCACTGGAATGCAACATCTGTGGCTATAGAAGCCAGGACCGTTACGAGTTTTCATCACACATTGTTCGAGGGGAGCACACATTCCACTAGGCCTTTTCATTCCAAAGGGGACCCCTATGAAGTAAAGAACTGCACATGAAGAAATACTGCACTTACAATCCCACCTTCCCTCAGATCTTGACATACCTTTTTTTTTTAGTATTACTGTCAGTAATTCTTATTTTGTGGACGCAGTGTCATTTGCTCTGCCTAATTACAGTAAGGAAGAAACAGAAGAGTGAAGGGACGGGATATTGTTTCTTGATAACTTGGCTTGTTTATTTTGTGAGAATTTAAGAGCAGTTCATTTCTGCCACACATAGATACAAGGTGTATCACACTTTGAAAAATCACTTGATTCTTATAGATTGACCTAAGAGATCCTAATTTGCCACTGATATTCAGGATTATGATTGAAAACAGGAAAGTTCAGAGTTTTCTTGGTAACAATTTTGCAGTTTAAAATGGTATAAGTAATTTTACTCTTCAAAGAAGAATTTGTTTCAAAATGTAAACCATTTTTTTCTCTCTCTCTCTCTAGAGATCATGGAACACAAATCAAACACATTGTTATTTTCAGTGACAACTCCTAGGATGAGTTGTTTCTGTGGGTTCTATGTTTACTTCCCCTATGGAATTTATAATACAGTATGCTATACACTGTACCATCTAGCAAAACTTTTAAAGTACAGGTAGTTAAGGACAACCTACAATACATCTGAGGTCCTGTGATCTTATTTTTCTAAACTTAAGCACTGTTTTTCCATAGTTTTGATGACTGGCATTTTATAGACACCCTGGCAGCCTTACTTTTAACACCTTTAATGAATAGTATTTTTTATCTAGTTTTCAGAATAACATATGGTCTAAGAGTGGCTAAGAGGCAGGCAGTAGTTTTCAGGTGGGACTTCTACCTTTCAAAAATTTGTCTGGAAAGTTTTGTGTTTTTTTTTTTAAAGTTGTAATGTAATGGCAGTATATTATACATATTTGTGTCTAAAAGTATGCTTATGATTGTCACTTTATCAGCATTTAATCAGTGTTAACCAGTCAGCAGAAAAATATAATTAGGCTAACAGTAGGGGGAAGAAACCACTTAGAAATTCTTTTTCTGGTATTTCTCTTTTCACTGGTTTTTTCAAGCTGTGACTACCCAGTGTTCTGTCCATAGTGCATTCATCTTTTACTCTTTGAGTAGAAGGTCTTTAAAAATCTTGCTATAGGCTGTTTCTAACAAAATATCCTTGGAACAATTGCTAATTTGACCTGAATGTGGTAACTTGAACCCTGTAAGGTTATTGAACGAGGGCTATTTATTGTAGTATTTCTTCGGTAGTGATATTTACCACTTTTGGTGCAAGGAAAATTAAACTTCTTTGTCACCTGTACATTGGACTGCAGATAAAAAAGAAAAACAAACAAGTTTACTTTATCCTTCTTAGAATCCAGAATGTGACTGAACCTCCAAGTGAGAGTGACTGTGCCCTGTACATTTTTCTATTTCAAAACCATTCATCTATATATAATTCCTTGTCAGAAGTTAATCTTGGTTCCTTAGTGCAAAATTTTTCTTCTTTTAATCCATACATGACATATGGATGAATCCATATTTCATGTGCAGATTTTAATTTCACTTACATGGGTGCTCTGTTTATCTTTACAGTCCAGCAGTGTTAGAGGGGAGAAACTGAGTGATACCAATTGAACTCATTTTGGGGGAGGCACAATTGGAAGGCATGTGTTTAGGGAGCACAGGCATGTCTGTTACTGGATTATCTGGTATCCATCTGTGAATACTGAAATTTTGTTAAGCAATCAATTAAGTAACTGATAACTGCTCTAGAACTCATTAATTAGGATGCTGAAACTATGTTTCTTTATACAGTATGATGTGAGCATTATCAAGATTTGAGACTGTGGACAGATAAGCAAATCTGGCTCCATTACTGCTCATAACTTGTCTTCTAGTTCACCATCTGCTTATTTAATCAACTTCTAAGCACTAGAACTAGGCAAAAATCAGCTCTCTCTTATTTGAGTTTCTAGTCCTTGTCATTTTTTTTGAGACATAACTATTAATTTAAATCTTAAGAGAATGCACCAAAAGAGATACATGAGATGTATTAAACAGAATATCAACTATTACTTTTTTTTTTCTGCATGCCATAGTATATTTGAACATACAATTTATTCAGTGGTAAACTATGTCTTTCACAATCTCTCATCCCCAACCACCCTCTCACCATTCCCAAATAATAGATTTTTTTTTTCCCTTTTGAAGGAAGGTAAATAATTTTAAGGTCAGTGATTTCAGTGACAGTCAATATGTTCATAAATTTGGCTATGTGTGAATTTTTGCTGGCATCAGTCTCTGAATTCCTGCTTTACTCACCCCCCACCCCCAACCCCCACTATATGAACAGTTATGTACCTACCTGCCCTGGGGTGAGACGGAGTGTGGTTGGACCTAAAGAGTTGGGTAGTACCTCTATGAAAACAGTACAAATTGCTCTCCTTTTCTGATTTCATCTTTTTAGGACTTTTTTTTTTACTAAAGAGAGTTAATGTTTGTGAGAGTGTATTCGCTCCAGGTATATACTTGTATTTTCTTACCTTCTGTGATATGAGGATCAGAAAGAGGTAGAGATGGCTCAGGGTGTGGCAGGGAGGGACAAATGAGGACAAGGTCAATTCAAAGGTATAGGTTAGAAGAAATTTTGTGGACATAGTGCTTTCTGAGAAACTCTAGATGGCTGTATTTGCATGCTTTTTCTTCCCCCTCCCAAAAATAGACAAGGTAATAACACCTAAAAATAGATATGAGGGTCAGACACTAAATAAATCAAGTTGTACATAACAGTTGTATGCCCAGTTTATTTAGGTGAGAATTTATGTTACAGGAAGTCTTTGAGGGGCATGAAAATGGGTTATCTTCTGTATTTTCCAGTTTGGCAAAAATTCAGAAATTCATCACATTGGTTTGCCCTAATTTTGCCCAGAATATTATTTCTGACTCTTGTCGGAATAGAGGCATGCCGCTCTTTCTCTAGTATAGTGATTAATCACTTTAAAAAAGTCATTCTAATTGGCTTTTTGAAACAGTGAAAGTGACCTGTAGGCAGATTGGAAGAGATTTCAAATTCCTAAAAAGAAACATTCCATTGAGAATTTTCTGGAGGGACAAAATGGGAGAATGAGACTGGGATTTATACTTAGCTACAAAATACAGTGCCCCTCCTACATACGTAAATACAAGCAATTGCATTTATGAATCACAGTGTGTGTGTATATATATATACACACACATATATGTACATTTTTTAAAGAAAACTTAAGAAGCAATTACAGTGATCAGATGTGTGCAAGAGCATATAGAGAGTTAAAATTATAGTTAACACCTGAGCAATTTAGTGGGTTTACTTTACCAAGTTGTATTAACAAATACTAAAGAAGTTCTTAGTGTGTCTTTATTATTAAATCCCGGGTCTTCAGAATCCTTCCAGAACAAAACAAAACAAGCCAACAAAAAAAGATTTTAAGCTGATTTAATATAACCTGCAGCTCAATAGAAGTATAAACTCCTATTTAAGTAAGAACAAAGAGACCGGAAATAAAAATTTTCAACCTTTACTTGTTGGTGAAGAATATCATAGTAAGGTTGATAGTTTTTTTTTTTTTCTTTATTTATAGATGTCGTGTCTCAGTTGTACATCTCACAAAACCTTGCAGTCTTTATGATATATTTTATAAATATTTAACAAAATTTACATCAGAGAAGGACATGAAAGTTATTTTACTTATTTTCCAAATCTTATTTTATTCTGTCTCCAAAATAATCCCTTATGGCAGAAAAAAGAGCAGGAGAGACTAGAAAAATATAAAACAAAAAGCTGTATGCTCCTGGTTTCAGGACAGGACTTAGATTATAAAAGGTACTGGCTACATTTTGTTTTTTCACTTTGGATTGTTCATTTTACAAGAAGGGATAAATCACATTTGTGATCATCTTAGTCATATATATTATTTTAGTAAGTACTATCTATATGAAGACTATTCTAAAACAGAAAATTCCCCAAATCCAAAAGAAAAAAACAAGTGGAGTGAAATTGAAGTGTGTATATAAAAGTTATCTTATAAGATGTTTTTAACCCTCCAGTTTCTGCAAAATAATTAAAATATACAGTAACTGGTCTCAAGATCCTCAATTTAATGTATTAAATACTTGTAAAATTTCTTTATATTGGTGCCTTTTAAAAATGCATTGAGAGAGTGTTGATTAGCTACTGTAGCTCTACAGCACTTTTATTATGTATTTCTAAAAATCACTTAAAATTGAGTACATATATAATTCATCTTTGTGTTCTTAGGGCAAAACTGTTAGAGGAAGTCCCAATACAGATTTCCCAATTTCAGCTTAGCTGTTTAAAGTAGAAAGAAGCCTTAAGACCAGATTTTAATCTTTTTAGTTTGATAGTATTTCCGAATACCATTACAAGATCATGCAGGTAAAATTTGAGGTAAAGTGAAATTAGAGCTGTGAATTGCATCATGGTATGTGTTTTTGCTTTGTTTTGTTCTTAAGGGAGAATCAGTTCTGCATCATGCAAGGATTTATTAGTGGAACTTTCAGTCAGTAAAATACAGTGTTGCTTTGGAATTTCATCCACAGACTAATGTTCTAGTCTTGAAACTGGTGTCTTCTAACCTGTTAATGTTTTATGGTATAATGTTAAAAAGCAGGTAATTAATTCTCCTTGAACAAAACAAAACTAAACAGTCATATCGAATTGCTGTTCTCCAAAGCATAGTCTCAAATGGTTTCATACCATGGTTGTGTATTACTTGGCAATGAATGTGTTAGGATATGACAGCTTTTATTAAAATGAGCTGCTGGTTATACAAAGCAAATGTCATATGACCAAGAAGCTGTGATATGCTAGTGTTTCTTTTTATCATAGTATATTGTTAGGCCAAATAATGACACCTTGAATATTTTTACATTTATTGCAGAAACCTAAATTTTGGAATTTCCATAAGGTTTTTATGTAACATTCTATTTCTAGCTTTTTAGTTTTATCTTGCTGTACTGTAAGTTTGTGGGTACTTTTCACATGCACTCTTGGAAATAAGTTCATAATTCTGTTTGTGGGGTTTTTCTCCCATAACATTGCATTTGTATATTTTCTGTATAAATTTGTGAATTAACCTTTATTCCATACAAAGAGTGGTACATGAATGACTAGTTTTCTAAGATGTCCTTTTTATTGTGAATAAAATAAAAAATTTAGAGGCCCTCTGCTAAGTATGATAGTACAGCATATAACTAACTTCATATAGGTAAAAAAGAAGCCAGTTTTCAGTCAATCGGGCCCTTCAGATTACCTCAGGTGACACAGTAAGAAAGCTTCTTGAAGGGGTGGAGGTCACTGAATCCCCTACTATGCACTTATCAGGATTTGACTTAATTTACTGGAAATGGATTTTATAAAAATGAATACACTGTAATAAGGGAAGGACTCTGGGTTTTGTTTTTGGGGTTTTTTTTTTTTTTAAAGTAGTTCAAATTCTGAAACTGTGATAAAAATTTTGACTGTCGAGCACTCTCAGATTTTGAACGTAAATCACTTCCCCTTCTTTGTAGCAAAGCTCTTTTTGTTATCTCTGTTAAATTTTGTAAACTCTCCCCCATCTCTTCCTCTCCTTTCTGTCCATCCCCCTTCTGTAATCGTTTCTGGAGGTCTCTGCCTCTCTTTTTTCCCTTTACTAGTTTGAACATTAGGTCAACTCTTATTTCCAATTCATCAGTCTCTTAAGTCTTATTTTTTTGTGTTTTATTGGCTGTGTAGCCTGTTGATGTATTTTTATACTCAAGTGTAGTTTTGTATTTAAAAAATAGTAAGATTAAAAATAGTAAGGTATAAAACCTTTGTGTTACTTTAACTTAAAAAATTGGATACATAAAATATGACTCCAGAGATTATGTAATCATAACCTGGTATGTTTGCCTTTCTTTTTGTGGGATTTTACATTCTAATTTGTCCCCCCCCTCCCAAAACGTATATCATGAGAGACTAGACAGTTTCTTGCAAGTATTTAGAAAAATGTTAAAAATGTAAAACAAAAAGTCTTAACTTTCTCTCAGTTGGGGGAAAAATGCTTTAACATTACTATATTTCAGGCTTGGAGGAAGGGGGTCATCAGGCCCCATATTTGCTTTTAATAGTTGACCCTTTTAGACCATGGTGTTATTTACAAACTAAGAATAATTGCTTCTTCTATTTAGTTAAAAATGTTTCTTTTTTTTTCTGTACAAGTGCAATACTTCCCTTGAAGTCTTAAAAACTATGTTTTTTCTTTTCTTTTCTGACCTAGTCTTTTCTTTAAAAAATAAACCTAACCAAACCCATTGCCGTTGAGTCAAATTCTGACTCATAGTGACTCTATAGAACAGAGTAGAACTGCCCCATAGGGTTTCCAAGGCTGTAAATCTTAGAGGGAAGCAAACTGCCACACCTTTGTCCCGAGGAGCGGCTGTTTGATTCGAACCACTAACATTTTGGTTAGCAGCTGAGCGCTTAACCACTGTGCCACTGGGGCTCCTTTTTATTCTTTTTTTGGATAACAACAAAAAGAAACCCTTAAAAATCATGTTTTTTTTTAAATGATACAATAAGTAAAGGAAAAAACAGTCCACATTCAAAAGATTTGAGAGTGTGGAAACAATGGGTCTAATCTCATGGCATCTTTATTTAGGCTAAATTTCCATTTAAATAATCTTTTGCCTGAGAAATGTGTCCTAAAGTTGAAATTCTTAAAGACTGAATTTTCTCCTTTGACCCTTGCTCAGTGCTCTAGATTAAGAACTTAATTTTTTTTATTCATTTCTCTGCTTTTGGAAATTAAGTTTAAAATAAAAGCAAAGCACTTCATTCAGTTGTAAACATATATCATCTATTGGAGAAAATTTTAAAAAATATTTGGAGCAGTCCTGTTTTCAAACAAATTTAAGTATTTTTCATATGATACGTATTTATATGTAGTGTGCTGGTTTTATTTTTTCTTTTTTTATACCCATGTCCCTGTAGTAAAACTGCTGTAATGTAAATACATGTTTTGTTAAAAGATAACATTTCTTTGTCATTTCTTTTAAAGATGGTTACTGCATTTGTACAGTAGCTATGTGTCTTGGCCATTCTAGATTGTTTTTTTCTTTAACAATACCAAAGGTAATTAGACTATTTTAAAGACTAATTGCTTTACAGTTTCTAGGATATTTTAAGTTTTAGAAGCAAAGAAAAAATAATAATAGGTCAAACCAGTAAACCTCATTTTTTTTTTTCAAGCTAATAATTTGGGGAAATAAAAACTATTGTTTTAAACAGAAATATATATATATACATATATATATATATAGAAATATATATATGTAAAATTAAAATTCCAGACCTTGTATGTCAGGTTTGCTCAGTGTAATGTAGGTTTTTAAGGCTCAAATACCATAGCTCAGAAAATGAGGTTTACTATGGAAATACTGAACAGTCTTTGCCGCTGTGTGACAAGTCACCCTTGGAGACCTCCGCTCAACAGTTTTATCACTGCAGACAAATGTGTGACTTCTATTTTCTTTGTTTTGAATGCACACGCATACATGTTCTGTGCATGTATGTGGGTACTGTGTATATGTGTATGAGTGTTGTATATGCATGTGTGAGTGTGTGTCTGTATGTTTGTACAATTAAAGCTGCAGAAACTTTGTAATACTTTGTGAAAAGGATTATATTATAAAGGTTTGTACTGTCTGAGTGCACAGCTACTGGAATAAATTTAGGGAATCTCAGGAACAAGCATATAATTTGTCCAAGATTTATTTCTTTTCAGAAGTGTAAGTGCAGTTTTTAATTCTGTACATTATTTAATATTTTACCAATAAAAATAAACTTCTGATGTAAAAAATTTGCTATAAAAACTTTCTGGTGAAAATTCTGTACACAAACACATCTTCCGAATACAGAAGACTGATGTTGAATGGTATCAGGCTAATTTGTCATTGCTCTTGTGTATTGGTGCCACTCCTGATCCATGATTTGCATACATGTGAAATCAGTAATCTCCATCTCAGTCATTAGTCCAACATCATCATTACTATGGAATCCACCAAAGCAGAGAACAGTGTATTCCATGATTTGTTAAGAATGACATCTCTTTGCTCTTTGGTTTTCATATATCATATATTACCCTTAAACCAAATCTTCAGTGGTATGTATGTGAGATCCTTTCCCCTTTTTATAGAAGTGACTTGCTCAAAAATAGACACAGAATTACACAACTGATCCAGGTAATGGTCAATAACCATATTAGAAATCAGTATTTCTTAGGAGTCAGACCAAGAAAGAATAAGTCATAGTGATTGTTTGATAACATTGGCAAAAAGCTGGCCAACTGCCCTGCTTCATGTTGTACTACTATTGTGTGAGTCACAAACTTCTCACTCAACTTTTAGAATGCAATATATCTTTTGCCAGAA